GTAACTGTTAGAGCTGAGCGACAAAACGATAACGATAAAAGCTCAAGCAAATAAAACAATAATAAAATAAAATAAACAGTAAGAAAATAAATATATGGAATAATATACACAATAGATGATTCTTCTAATGCTTTATATTGAATAATGTTGATGTCAAACTGATAAATAACAAAGTGACAGAGTGATGTCATTCAGTCGTAGAACCATAGTGTGTGTGTGTGTCTGTGTGTGTGTGTGTGTGTGTGTGTGTCTGTGTCTGTGTCTGTGTGTGTGTGTGTGTGTGTGTCTGTGTCTGTGTGTGTGTGTGTGTCTGTGTGTGTCTGTGTGTATGTGTGTGTGTGTCTGTGTGTCTGTGTGTGTGTCTGTGTCTCTGTGTGTGTGTGTCTGTGTGTCTGTGTGTGTGTGTGTGTGTGTGTGTGTCTGTGTGTGTGTGTATGTCTGTGTGTGTGTGTGTGTCTGTGTGTGTGTGTGTGTCTGTGTCTGTGTGTGTCTGTGTGTGTCTGTGTGTGTGTGTGTCTGTGTGTGTGTGTGTGTCTGTGTGTCTGTGTCTCTGTCTGTGTGTGTGTCTGTGTCTCTGTGTCTCTGTGTGTGTGTCTGTGTCTGTGTCTGTGTCTGTGTCTGTCTGTGTGTGTGTGTGTGTGTGTGTGTGTGTGTGTGTGTCTATGTCTGTGGTGATTCTCTTCTTCTTCACATCACTGGGATAGGGTCAGAGTTCAAACAGATAACTCTGCTTCATCAGCAAACATGGGCCTTGAGGAAGAGGAGAAACTTTGATCCACCACGAATATTAATGACACACACTTCTATCAAAGCCTCTTTACACTTATGTTAGGTTTTTATATCCAGAGAATTAAATTTAATGAGGCAGAAATCAAATTAAAAATCCTACATTTATAATAATATAATAATAATAATAAATTAAATTGATTATTCAATAATCAATTTAAATTATTAAATAATTTAAATTGATTATATGAGGAGATTGTGTTATGTAAATGTTCTGTGTGTGTGTGTGTCTGTGTGTCTGCGTGTGTGTGTGTGTCTGTGTCTGTGTCTGTGTGTGTGTGTCTGTGTCTGTGTCTGTGTGTGTGTCTGTGTGTGTCTGTGTCTTTGTGACTGTGTGTGTGTGTGTGTGTCTGTGTCTCTGTCTGTGTGTGTGTGTCTGTGTGTGTCTGTGTCTGTGTGTGTGTGTGTGTCTGTGTCTGTGTGTGTGTGTGTGTGTGTGTCTGTCTGTGTGTGTGTGTGTGTGTGTGTGTGTGTGTGTGTGTGTCTGTGTGTCTGTGTGTGTGTGTGTCTGTGTGTGTGCGTGTGTCTGTGTCTGTGTGTGTCTGTGTCTGTGTGTGTGTGTGTGTGTGTGTGTGTGTGTGTCTGTGTCTGTGTGTGTCTGTGTCTGTGTGTGTGTGTGTCTGTCTGTGTGTGTGTGTGTGTGTGTGTGTGTGTCTGTGTGTCTGTGTGTGTGCGTGTGTCTGTGTCTGTGTGTGTCTGTGTCTGTGTCTGTGTGTGTGTGTGTGTGTGTGTGTGTCTGTGTCTGTGTCTCTGTCTGTGTGTGTCTGTGTGTGTGTGTCTATCTGTGTGTGTGTGTGTGTCTGTGTCTGTGTCTGTGTGTGTCTGTGTCTGTGTGTGTGTGTCTGTCTGTGTGTGTGTGTGTGTGTGTGTGTGTGTGTGTGTGTGTGTGTGTGTCTGTGTGTGTGCGTGTGTCTGTGTGTGTGTGTCTGTGTGTGTGTCTGTGTGTCTGTGTGTGTGTCTGTGTGTGTGTGTGTGTGTGTGGGTGTGTGTGTGTGTGTGTCTGTGTGTGTGTCTGTGTCTGAGTGTGTGTGTGTGTGTGTGTGTCTGTGTCTCTGTCTGTGTGTGTGTGTCTGTGTCTGTGTGTGTGTCTGTGTGTCTGTGTGTCTGTGTGTGTGTGTGTCTGTGTGTGTGCGTGTGTCTGTGTGTGTGTGTGTGTGTGTGTGTGTGTGTGTGTCTGTGTGTCTGTGTGTCTGTGTGTGTGCGTGTGTCTGTGTGTGTGTGTGTGTGTGCGTGTGTGTGTCTGTGTGTGTGCGTGTGTGTGTCTGTGTGTGTCTGTGTGTATGCGTGTGTCTGTGTGTGTGTGTGTGTGTGTGTGTCTGTGTCTGTGTGTGTGTGTGTGTCTGTATGTGTGCCTGTCTGTGTGTGTGTGTGTGTCCTCCTTCTCCTCTGTTAGCGACGGTAGCCCAGGGTTTTGTTTAGTGGAATTTTAGACGTTTTTATGCCACTTCAGTCTAATCTCTAAATCCACCAAGATCCATAACGACGAGGGGGAAGGTGAAGGAGTGAGTTTTTCTCTCCCGGATGCAGCCTCTGTCATCATTTCTCATCTCATAATTCTCACACTAAATAAATCCATGTGGTATTGTCTCTGCAGCAGTGCCAGCCCCGCCCTCCTCTGCTGGGGGTCCCTGCTGACTGAAGCCCCTGCCTTCTGCTGGCTGTCTGCTTCATGACTGATGATCTCACAGACGCAGAGATGACAGAGGAGGGAGGGGCGTGGCTCGTGGGCGTGGCTCGTGGGCGTGGCTTAAAATAACTTTGGCCGCTTTCGACAATACGGAATTTTTATGATTCTGGATTTTGTAATGGTTAACGAAGTTCAGGTGTTGAAATGAAATAGTTTTCTGCTTCAATTTAGATGTTTCTTATGTCTTTTATATCACATAACTTCTCAACTCAACACTCAAGAACCTTTAGCTGTTAAGAAATGAGTGGGTTTTTTTTTTTTTCAGGCAAATTTTATTGAGTTTTTCCACAAGATTTCACACAAAAGTTGTGCAGAAAGTATTGAAAAGAGTAAGTTTTTGACCCTGTCGCTGTGAGAGGTGAGGACAAGTTAACAGTTTAGACCCACAACTCCGGTGGGGGCACAACTATGGACAGATCAACAAGACTCTGAGCAGAAACTGTGTGTTTTAAGGTTTTGTACAACTTTATAAATATAAAAAGGTAAATAGACTCCACACAGTGATTCCTCAAGCAGAATGTCCAGGATTTAAGAAATGATTTTGTACCTGTTTGACCCTGTCTTCTTTCTTGTACCGTTTACATTTCCCCGTGAGCCTATAGCCTTCTCTACCTCCACAGTATCTGTCGCACACACACGCACAGACACACACAGACACACACATACACACACACATACCCCCGTCAGCCTATAGCCTGCATCTCCTTTACCTCTGCAGTATCGGTCACCCTATCCTCTGTTTGCTAAGAGTAGACAAAGAGGGCAGCAGAGAAAGGGCCATAAAGATATCTGTCACACACACACATGCACACACACGCACACACACGCACAAACACACACACACACACACACTAATCCTGCCTCTCGGGACGTAAGTGATAGGCTTGAGTAGCATTCAAACGGGCTGATCCGATAGGCCCATTCAGAGCGTGCATTCCGGTCAGAGAGCCAGGACTGAGACGGACTGGGGGTCAGGGGTTCGGTTACCGGCTGATGTGACCCAGGAGGTGCATGGGTGCGAGGCCGGAGGTGGGCGGATCTCTTGGACCTGATATTGGAAGAGTTAAACAAGAGGGGAATGGGTTTGGATGCGACTAACTTGATCAGTCTCGTCACCAGCGCTCAGCCCAGAGAGATTTCACTTTCACTTCAAGGTGATCCAGTCCATGTCAAACAGCATAAAGTTCATAAAAAAACATGTACAAAGTAAAACTCAGTTCGTGTTGTGAGCCAAGGCATTAAAATGTGTTTTTAGACTAGATTTAAAAACCTCCAGCTGATCTGATGTAGACTATTCCACAGATAGGATTAGTCTACCTCATGTGTAAGCAGTAAGTACATGTTCAGCCCATCCCCTCTGTCCCAACGCTGCTTTTTCCAACGTATGATGCGTTGGTGAATCCACAGACTGTGATGCCAGTAACAGGCTCTGAATCAAAAAGAGGAATTTCTCCAGACAAATCTGAGCTTAAGCGTAGGTTCAGTCTGGTAGAATACTTCTGCTGCAGTTCCATCTGATCCAAGGCCGGCCCCCTTCTGCTCTTAGCCAATCACACACAGCTGCCAACTTCTCTGTCAACCCAGCCCCAAGACCAAGCCCCAAAACCCAGCCCCAAGAACCAGCCCCAAGACCAAGCCCCAAGACCAAGCCCCAAAACCCAGCCCCAAGAACCAGCCCCAAGACCAAGCCCCAAGACCCAGCCCCAAGAACCAGCCCCAAGACCAAGCCCCAAGACCAAGCCCCAAAACCCAGCCCCAAGAACCAGCCCCAAGACCAAGCCCCAAGACCAAGCCCCAAGACCAAGCCCCAAAACCCAGCCCCAAGAACCAGCCCCAAGACCAAGCCCCAAGACCAAGCCCCAAAACCCAGCCCCAAAACCCAGCCCCAAGAACCAGCCCCAAGACCAAGCCCCAAGACCAAGCCCCAAGACCAAGCCCCAAGAACCAGCCCCAAGACCAAGCCCCAAGACCCAGCCCCAAGAACCAGCCCCAAGACCAAGCCCCAAGACCAAGCCCCAAAACCCAGCCCCAAGAACCAGCCCCAAGACCAAGCCCCAAGACCAAGCCCCAAGACCAAGCCCCAAAACCCAGCCCCAAGAACCAGCCCCAAGACCAAGCCCCAAGACCAAGCCCCAAAACCCAGCCCCAAAACCCAGCCCCAAGAACCAGCCCCAAGACCAAGCCCCAAGACCAAGCCCCAAGACCAAGCCCCAAGAACCAGCCCCAAGACCAAGCCCCAAGACCCAGCCCCAAGAACCAGCCCCAAGACCAAGCCCCAAGACCCAGCCCCAAGACCCAGCCCCAAAACCCAGCCCCAAGAACCAGCCCCAAGAACCAGCCCCAAGACCAAGCCCCAAGACCAAGCCCCAAGACCAAGCCCCAAGAACCAGCCCCAAGACCAAGCCCCAAGACCCAGCCCCAAGAACCAGCCCCAAGACCAAGCTCCAAGACCCAGCCCCAAGACCCAGCCCCAAAACCCAGCCCCAAGAACCAGCCCCAAGAACCAGCCCCAAGACCAAGCCCCAAGACCAAGCCCCAAGACCCAACCCCAAGAACCAGCCCCAAGACCAAGCCCCAAGACCAAGCCCCAAGACCCAGCCCCAAGAACCAGCCCCAAGACCCAGCCCCAAGACCAAGCCCCAAGACCCAGCCCCAAAACCCAGCCCCAAGAACCAGCCCCAAGACCCAGCCCCAAGACCGAGCTCCAAGAACCATCCCCAAGACTAATTTCATGCATTTGCTGAGTCTGTCTAGAATGAGATGATGTTATTTACGACGGCATGTCTTAAAGCTCGGGCACCTAACTTACAAACACACACACACACACACACACTAATACAATAAACAATCTAATCTAATCTTGAGACCAAAGAGAGGACCCCCTTCACTCGGCCAATCAGCTCTCAGCTAAAATCATTCATACCGGGTCACTAGGAGTTTGCTCACAACATTTCCACTTTCTTTCTTTTGGGGCAAACAATGATTTATGGAGAAAGTTCGAGTCATATCAGAATCAGGACTGGTGGTATTTTAGTTCTACTGATCGCTCCATAAGTCTGATGTTTGATGCTTAAACTGAGGCCCCGCCCCCTCTTATTGAATTGAGCCAATCACCTCGAGAATCTCAGTGTTTCATCTCCATCGGGATAATATTAAGAATGCCCCCTTCCCTTCTGTCCCAATGACCCCGTGTCCAACTTGTGCTGTGACTGCGACTCACACAGTTTTCTGCCGACGCAAGTTTTATGATTTTCTTGAGTCAAATTAAGTTTTTACAACTGGGTGGAACCAGCAGAATGTAATTACTCCTACTCAGTGTCTGCGGAGCTCTCTGTTCATATCTTATTCTTCATGTTTGTTCATATTTTGTGTTTCACGACATCTCTGTAGAAAGTGTCTGAAGCCTCCTCCACAGCGTTGTTCCAGTCTCTGCCAGATTCACAAAGTCTCCTCTCGGGGTTTGGACAAAATACATGACAGTTTGAGTATTTTTCTGATATTTTTTTGATATGAATAATAAATACATCCGCTCACAGCAAGAAGATCAATTCAACATTATTATGATTCTTAACATAGAGCGACACTACAGCAGTGAGACTGGACCCTACAGCAGTGAGACTGGACCCTACAGCAGTGAGACTGGACCCAACAGCAGTGAGACTGGACCCTACAGCAGTGAGACTGGACCCAACAGCAGTGAGACTGGACCCTACAGCAGTGAGACTGGACCCTACAGCAGTGAGACTGGACCCTACAGCAGTGAGACTGGACCTACAGCAGTGAGACTAGACCTTACAGCAGTGAGACTGGACCCTACAGCAGTGAGACTAGACCCTACAGCAGTGAGACTGGACCCTACAGCAGTGAGACTAGACCTTACAGCAGTGAGACTAGACCCTACAGCAGTGAGACTGGACCCTACAGCAGTGAGACTAGACCTTACAGCAGTGAGACTAGACCCTACAGCAGTGAGACTGGACCCAACAGCAGTGAGACTAGACCCTACAGCAGTGAGACTGGACCCTACAGTAGTAAGTCTGGACCCTACAGCAGTGAGACTGGACCCAACAGCAGTGAGAGTAGACCCTACAGCAGTGAGACTAGACCCTAGTAAGTCTGGACCCTACAGCAGTGAGACTGGACCCAACAGCAGTGAGACTAGACCTTACAGCAGTGAGACTGGACCCTACAGCAGTGAGACTGGACCCTACAGCAGTGAGACTGGACCTTAAAGCAGTGAGACTAGACCCTACAGCAGTGAGACTAGACCTTACAGCAGTGAGACTGGACCCTACAGCAGTGAGACTAGACCCTACAGCAGTGAGACTGGACCTTAAAGCAGTGAGACTGGACCCTACAGCAGTGAGACTGGACCCTACAGCAGTGAGACTGGACCCTACAGCAGTGAGACTAGACCTTACAGCAGTGAGACTAGACCCTACAGCAGTGAGACTGGACCCTACAGCAGTGAGACTGGACCCTACAGTAGTAAGTCTGGACCCTACAGCAGTGAGACTGGACCCAACAGCAGTGAGACTAGACCTTACAGCAGTGAGACTGGACCCAACAGCAGTGAGACTGGACCCTACAGCAGTGAGACTGGACCCAACAGCAGTGAGACTGGACCCTACAGCAGTGAGACTGGACCCTACAGCAGTGAGACTGGACCCTACAGCAGTGAGACGGACCTACAGCAGTGAGACTAGACCTTACAGCAGTGAGACTGGACCCTACAGCAGTGAGACTAGACCCTACAGCAGTGAGACTGGACCCTACAGCAGTGAGACTAGACCTTACAGCAGTGAGACTAGACCCTACAGCAGTGAGACTGGACCCTACAGCAGTGAGACTAGACCTTACAGCAGTGAGACTAGACCCTACAGCAGTGAGACTGGACCCAACAGCAGTGAGACTAGACCCTACAGCAGTGAGACTGGACCCTACAGTAGTAAGTCTGGACCCTACAGCAGTGAGACTGGACCCAACAGCAGTGAGAGTAGACCCTACAGCAGTGAGACTAGACCCTAGTAAGTCTGGACCCTACAGCAGTGAGACTGGACCCAACAGCAGTGAGACTAGACCTTACAGCAGTGAGACTGGACCCTACAGCAGTGAGACTGGACCCTACAGCAGTGAGACTGGACCTTAAAGCAGTGAGACTAGACCCTACAGCAGTGAGACTAGACCTTACAGCAGTGAGACTGGACCCTACAGCAGTGAGACTAGACCCTACAGCAGTGAGACTGGACCTTAAAGCAGTGAGACTGGACCCTACAGCAGTGAGACTGGACCCTACAGCAGTGAGACTAGACCCTACAGCAGTGAGACTGGACCCTACAGCAGTGAGACTAGACCTTACAGCAGTGAGACTAGACCCTACAGCAGTGAGACTGGACCCTACAGCAGTGAGACTGGACCCTACAGTAGTAAGTCTGGACCCTACAGCAGTGAGACTGGACCCAACAGCAGTGAGACTAGACCTTACAGCAGTGAGACTGGACCCTACAGCAGTGAGACTGGACCCTACAGCAGTGAGACTGGACCCTACAGTAGTAAGTCTGGACCCTACAGCAGTGAGACTGGACCCAACAGCAGTGAGACTAGACCCTAGTAAGTCTGGACCCTACAGCAGTGAGACTGGACCCAACAGCAGTGAGACTAGACCTTACAGCAGTGAGACTGGACCCTACAGCAGTGAGACTGGACCCTACAGCAGTGAGACTGGACCTTAAAGCAGTGAGACTAGACCCTACAGCAGTGAGACTAGACCTTACAGCAGTGAGACTGGACCCTACAGCAGTGAGACTAGACCCTACAGCAGTGAGACTGGACCTTAAAGCAGTGAGACTGGACCCTACAGCACTGAGACTAGACCCTAGAGCAGTGAGACTGGACCTTACAGCAGTGAGACTGGATCCTACAGCAGTGAGACTGGACCCTACAGCAGTGAGACTAGATCCTACAGCAGTGAGACTGGACCCTACAGCAGTGAGACTGGACCCTACAGCAGTGAGACTAGACCCCACAACAGTGAGACTAGACCCTACAGCAGTGAGACTGGACCCTACAGCAGTGAGACTAGACCCCACAACAGTGAGACTAGACCCTACAGCAGTGAGACTAGATCCTACAGCAGTGAGACTGGACCCTACAGCAGTGAGACTGGACCCTACAGCAGTGAGACTAGACCCCACAACAGTGAGACTAGACCCTACAGCAGTGAGACTAGACCCTACAGCAGTGAGACTGGACCCTACAGCAGTGAGACTAGACCCTACAGCAGTGAGACTGGACCCTACAGCAGTGAGACTAGATCCTACAGCAGTGAGACTGGACCCTACAGCAGTGAGACTAGACCCTACAGCACTGAGACTAGACCCCACAACAGTGAGACTAGACCCTACAGCAGTGAGACCAGATCCTTCTGCGCTGAGTCCGGTTTGTAAATCAGAGAATCTCCTCCCTGCGCACAGACAGTGGACCATGGTGGATCCTGAGCCGATAACTGGTGCAGCCCTCATGGTGCTTACAGCGGTGTCTTATTGACTAACTACTACGTTTTATTCTAATAAAGCAATTAAAGAGGACTGTGAATCACCCGCAGGTTTGTGTGGATGTAAACACCACTCAATTTGAGCCAATCAATGATCTCTGCTGCTCATTAGGCGTCCGCTCTCCGCTCTCAGCCGCCGGTGCAAAGAAGAGCGTTTTAATGAAGTCCAGGGCGGCCGCGGCTCCCTCAAGCTGAGTTTAAGAGAGAGAGAGGGGGAGGCAGAGGGAGAGGGGGGAGAGAGGGGAGAGGGGGAGGCACATGGGGCTGGGTGCAGAGGGAGAGGGGGAGGCACATGGGGCGGGGTGCAGAGGGAGAGGGGGAGAGGGGGAGGCACATGGGGCGGGGTGCTGCCCGAGGGCCACATTGATCCAGGGCCAGAGAGAAGGCCCCAGCGGTGGAGGAGGAGGGCGGAGCTCATCTGGTATTCTGTGTGTGTGCGTACAGTATATGTGTGTACTGTATATGTGTGTGTGTGTGTGTACTGTATATGTGTGTGTGTGTGTGTACTGTATATGTGTGTGTGTGTGTGTGCTGTATATGTAATGTGTGTGTGTGTATACTGTATATGTAATGTGTGTGTGTGTGTGTGTACTGTATATGTGTGTGTGTGTGTATACTGTATATGTAATGTGTGTGTGTGTGTACTGTATATGTGTGTGTGTGTGTATACTGTATATGTAATGTGTGTGTGTGTGTGTGTGTACTGTATATGTGTGTGTGTGTGTATACTGTATATGTAATGTGTGTGTGTGTGTGTGAAGGTGAAGATGCCTCTGAACTACTAATATAATGAAAAGGCTGCAGTATCTGTGCCCTTAAACATGAACTTGAGAAAGTTTACTGTGACATCATCTGTAGAAAGGCTCTGCACAAACACTGAGGTCCCTGACAGCTCAGGGTCAGTGTTGGGAGGATGCTTCTGACAGCGTAGGGAGATTATCTGTAGTTTTTGGGCCTCTTTCTACTTTTTAAATAATCACATGACGTCTCCTCTCGACCCTCATGACCGGAGCCCTGTGCCCCTCGTCACAAACCTCAGCTCGGTGTTTCACAACGAACAAAGCAAATACACTTCAGCACATTTCCCGTACTCTTGGATCAGTGAACTGAGAGAACCACAGTCGGATTGGTTTTGTTAAAGCTATTTGTGTATCACCCTAAACCCCAGCAGCTGTCGTCCCAGAGACTTTACAGTTGTAGATTCACCAACAACAGATCAGGGACCAGTGTCCTGGGACCCTCCTGCACCAGAGGAACCATCAGAGACCAGTGTCCTGAGACCCTCCTGCACCAGAGGAACCATCAGAGACCAGTGTCCTGAGACCCTCCTGCACCAGAGGAACCATCAGAGACCAGTGTCCTGAGACCCTCCTGCACCAAAGGAACCATCAGAGACCAGTGTCCTGAAAGCCTCCTGCACCAAAGGAACCATCAGAGACCAGTGTCCTGAGAGCCTCCTGCACCAGAGGAACCATCAGGGACCAGTGTCCGGAGAGCCTCCTGCACCAGAGGAACCATCAGAGACCAGTGTCCTGAGAGCCTCCTGCACCAGAGGAACCATCAGAGACCAGTGTCCTGAGACCCTCCTGCACCAGAGGAACCATCAGAGACCAGTGTCCTGAAAGCCTCCTGCACCAGAGGAACCATCAGAAACCAGTGTCCTGAGAGCCTCCTGCACCAGAGGAACCATCAGAGACCAGTGTCCTGAGACCCTCCTGCACCAAAGGAACCATCAGAGACCAGTGTCCTGAAAGCCTCCTGCACCAAAGGAACCATCAGAGACCAGTGTCCTGAGAGCCTCCTGCACCAGAGGAACCATCAGGGACCAGTGTCCGGAGAGCCTCCTGCACCAGAGGAACCATCAGAGACCAGTGTCCTGAGACCCTCCTGCACCAGAGGAACCATCAGAGACCAGTGTCCTGAAAGCCTCCTGCACCAGAGGAACCATCAGAAACCAGTGTCCTGAGAGCCTCCTGCACCAGAGGAACCATCAGAGACCAGTGTCCTGAGACCCTCCTGCACCAGAGGAACCATCAGAGACCAGTGTCCTGAGACCCTCCTGCACCAAAGGAACCATCAGAGACCAGTGTCCTGAAAGCCTCCTGCACCAAAGGAACCATCAGAGACCAGTGTCCTGAGAGCCTCCTGCACCAGAGGAACCATCAGGGACCAGTGTCCGGAGAGCCTCCTGCACCAGAGGAACCATCATAGACCAGTGTCCTGAGAGCCTCCTGCACCAGAGGAACCATCAGAGACCAGTGTCCTGAGACCCTCCTGCACCAGAGGAACCATCAGAGACCAGTGTCCTGAAAGCCTCCTGCACCAGAGGAACCATCAGGGACCAGTGTCCTGAGACCCTCCTGCACCAGAGGAACCATTAGAGACCAGTGTCCTGAGACCCTCCTTATAGTCATTAATGACTATAAACATTAATGAATATTTTATTCATGATGAATACAACACTCCTCAGCTGTGTAAGGCTGTAATAAAGCTTTAAAAACGACCAGTTTTTACAAACGTTGGAAATGCAGGAAACAGTGTTTAATGGGAGTATACATTACAGATTCTCAGGGAGGGGGAGTGAGGGGGGGTGAGGGGGGTGGGGGTAGAAGCCTGACTACGTTATCCTCACCATTCTGGTCAGAATCTGAGTCTGAAACTGATCCTTCGGGCTGTATCTGTGTGTGTGTGTGTGTGTGTGTGTGTGTGTGTGTGTGTGTGTGTGTGTGTGTGTGTGTGTGTGTGTGTGTGTGTGTGTGTGTGTGTGTGTGTGTGTGTGTGTGTGTGTGTGTGTGTGTGTGTGTGTGTGTGTGTGTGTGTGTGTGTGTGTGTGTGTCTGTGTCTGTGTGTGTGTGTGTGTGTGTGTGTGTGTGTGTGTGTGTGTGTGTGTGTGTGTCTGTGTGTGTGTGTGTGTGTGTATGTGTGTGTGTGTGTGTGCGTGTGTGCGGTCTCTCTCTCTGGTCTCTTTCTCTGGTCTCACTCTGGTCTCTCTCTGGTCTCTCTCTGGTCTCTCTCTGGTCTCTCTCTCTGATCTCTCTCTGGTCTCTCTCTGGTCTCTCTCTCTGGTCTCTCTCTCTGGTCTCTCTCTCTGGTCTCTCTCTCTGGTCTCTCTCTCTGGTCTCTCTCTCTGGTCTCTCTCTCTGGTCTCTCTCTCTGGTCTCTCTCTCTGGTCTCTCTCTCTCTGGTCTCTCTCTGGTCTCTCTCTGGTCTCTCTCTCTGGTCTCTCTCTCTGGTCTCCCTCTCTGGTCTCCCTCTCTGGTCTCCCTCTCTGGTCTCTCTCTGGTCTCTCTCTGGTCTCTCTCTCTGGTCTCTCTCTGGTCTCTCTCTCTGGTCTCCCTCTCTGGTCTCTCTCTGGTCTCTCTCTGGTGGTCTCTCTCTGGTCTCTCTCTGGTCTCTCTCTGGTCTCTCTCTCTGGTCTCTCTCTGGTCTCTCTCTCTGGTCTCTCTCTGGTCTCCCTCTCTGGTCTCCCTCTCTGGTCTCTCTCTGGTCTCTCTCTCTGGTCTCTCTCTGGTCTCTCTCTGGTCTCTCTCTGGTCTCTCTCTGGTCTCTCTCTGGTCTCTCTCTGGTCTCTCTCTGGTCTCTCTCTCTGGTCTCTCTCTGGTCTCTCTCTGGTCTCTCTCTCTGGTCTCTCTCTGGTCTCTCTCTGGTCTCTCTCTGGTCTCTCTCTGGTCTCTCTCTGGTCTCTCTCTGGTCTCTCTCTCTGGTCTCTCTCTGGTCTCTCTCTGGTCTCTCTCTGGTCTCTCTCTGGTCTCTCTCTGGTCTCTCTCTGGTCTCTCTCTGGTCTCTCTCTGGTCTCTCTCTGGTCTCTCACTGGTCTCTCTCTGGTCTCTCTCTGGTCTCTCTCTGGTCTCTCTCTGGTCTCTCTCTGGTCTCTCTCTCTGGTCTCTCTCTGGTCTCTCTCTCTGGTCTCTCTCTGGTCTCCCTCTCTGGTCTCCCTCTCTGGTCTCTCTCTGGTCTCTCTCTCTGGTCTCTCTCTGGTCTCTCTCTGGTCTCTCACTGGTCTCTCTCTGGTCTCTCTCTGGTCTCTCTCTCTGGTCTCTCTCTCTCTGGTCTCCCTCTCTGGTCTCCCTCTCTGGTCTCCCTCTCTGGTCTCTCTCTGGTCTCTCTCTGGTCTCTCTCTCTGGTCTCTCTCTGGTCTCTCTCTCTGGTCTCCCTCTCTGGTCTCTCTCTGGTCTCTCTCTGGTGGTCTCTCTCTGGTCTCTCTCTGGTCTCTCTCTGGTCTCTCTCTCTGGTCTCTCTCTGGTCTCTCTCTCTGGTCTCTCTCTGGTCTCCCTCTCTGGTCTCCCTCTCTGGTCTCCCTCTCTGGTCTCTCTCTGGTCTCTCTCTCTGGTCTCTCTCTGGTCTCTCTCTGGTCTCTCTCTGGTCTCTCTCTGGTCTCTCTCTGGTCTCTCTCTGGTCTCTCTCTGGTCTCTCTCTGGTCTCTCTCTGGTCTCTCTCTGGTCTCTCTCTGGTCTCTCTCTCTGGTCTCTCTCTGGTCTCTCTCTGGTCTCTCTCTCTGGTCTCTCTCTGGTCTCTCTCTGGTCTCTCTCTGGTCTCTCTCTGGTCTCTCTCTGGTCTCTCTCTCTGGTCTCTCTCTGGTCTCTCTCTGGTCTCTCTCTGGTCTCTCTCTGGTCTCTCTCTGGTCTCTCTCTGGTCTCTCACTGGTCTCTCTCTGGTCTCTCTCTGGTCTCTCACTGGTCTCTCTCTGGTCTCTCTCTGTTAGTGACATGTGAACCAACTCGGACTCTGAGGAGCACAGGGACTGGCCTCCTGTTGGTCCCAGAGTCAGGACTAAACATGAAGAGGCAGCGTGTCCGATCCACGGCACTGAAACCTAGAACAGTCTTCCTGAAAATGTGAGACAGGTTTCTTATCTGACTATGCTCCAATTCAGGTTAAAACAGTTTCGCTGCAACGACAAGTTTTTCTTTTATGCTCTATGATTATTTACGATTTTAAAGCCTTCTGTCTTCTTTAGTTTAGCACAGAGTGGCCTTGTGTGACAAATAAACTAGCCCCTAGGTGAGACCTAACTGTGCTAGACCTAACCGTGCTAATGCCTCAGACTGGGACAGACTGTAACGGAGCCGCTGCAGCAGAGTGATGTCAAGCTGAAAACATGTGCTCCACTTTCACACACAAAGACTTCGCTCCGAGCCTCAAAGAAGAAGATCCATCACATTATTATCCCAGTGTCAGACCTGAGAGCACAGCCGCCAGACACCTGTACGTCCTGAGAGCACAGCCGCCAGACACCTGTACGTCCTGAGAGCACAGCCGCCAGACACCTGTACGTCCTGAGAGCACAGCCGCCAGACACTTGTACGTCCTGAGAGCACAGCCGCCAGACACCTGTACGTCCTGAGAGCACAGCCGCCAGACACCTGTACGTCCTGAGAGCACAGCCGCCAGACACCTGTATGTCCTGAGAGCACAGCCGCCAGACACCTGTACGTCCTGAGAGCACAGCCGCCAGACACTTGTACGTCCTGAGAGCACAGCCGCCAGACACCTGTACGTCCTGAGAGCACAGCCGCCAGACACCTGTACGTCCTGAGAGCACAGCCGCCAGACACCTTGTATGTCCTGAGAGCACAGCCGCCAGACACCTGTACGTCCTGAGAGCACAGTTAACACCTGTACGTCCTGAGAGCACAGCCGCCAGACACCTGTACGTCCTGAGAGCACAGCCGCCAGACACCTGTACGTCCTGAGAGCACAGCCGCCAGACACCTGTACGTCCTGAGAGCACAGCCGCCAGACACCTGTATGTCCTGAGAGCACAGCGGCCAGACACCTGTACGTCCTGACAGCACAGCCGCCAGACACCTGTACGTCCTGAGAGCACAGCCGCCAGACACCTGTACGACCTGAGAGCACAGCCGCCAGACACCTGAACGACCTGAGAGCACAGCGGCCAGACACCTGTACGTCCTGAGAGCACAGCCGCCAGACACCTGTACGTCCTGAGAGCACAGCCGCCAGACACCTGTAC